TCTCTCCCTCCTTCACGTTCCCAAACAAAAGGAAATTTTTCCCTTTTTGTTGTTGTGAAAACTTTATGCATTTTTTTTAAATTAAGAATTTATGATTATGAATAAATTTCCATCTAGCCTTTGCCATTTGGACGTCTGGCAATTTTGTTTATATTCATTCTTACTATACACACATAATTAAATACTTATATAAATAAATAATTGCGAATATTTCCAGTTTAAACCGAATCATTTAGCGTAAATTTACCGAAAACATTACTCGCGGCAAATATTGTTACTATCTAAAAATTCTGCTAAAGTTAAACGATTAAAAAATCTCATCAATGAAATTAACCATAATCTTACGAACAAGCGAATTAAAATCAAATCAAATTTTTAATAGAATGGAGGTAATATGGTCTAAGCTTTTGCTTATAATTCATAAATTGTCCGAATAGTGTAGTCGGCCAAAAGAAGCTGTGAGAAGTGGTTGAAAAAGTGGAACGACTCGAATCATTTTCAACACAATTCGTTCTTAGGTGAAAACACGTCAGTGTACCAAAGTTCATTATATTGCTATACCCACAAATTACTACCTGTAGATTGAACACAAAAATACATGGGCAGACATCAGATAGGACAAATGGACAGACAAACTTCAGGTTCAAAAAACGTCGCGAGAATCGATCGGCAAAATAAAAGATTAATTTGTCTTAAGCCGTTCTAGGTGACACGTGCCTATGTAAACGACATTTACTCGAGAAGACTGTATAGCTCTCACTTTTATACGTCAAAATTTGTTTTTTTGGTTGTTACGTGAGGATTATCGGCAATAACGTGTCACCATTTACCTGTCGAGGTTTGTATAACAAAAAAATAAGATTAAATTTGCAACCTCTTTAACAACAAATTTTGTAAAATCTTGTTGCTAATATAAGCTCAAATCATCCCTGAAAATATGCTATAATTTGGAAAAGTCACTATACAACTGAAACGGAAAAACAACTGATAACAAAGTTATACTAAAATTTATTTAAAAATCAAAATGTTCAAATGAATTTATGAATTAATTAAAATAAATTTCATTAATCAACAATTTACATAATTTAGTACACATCTAAATTTTAATATAATTAATATGCTAAGAGGCATGATATAGTTTAATATAATTAATATGCTAAGAGGAATGATAGAGTTGTTGTGTCTTTCAATGAATTATTCGATCGTAATTTATTTCAATACAACCGTACTCATAATTATATCATAAATTAGTTTACCTGAGGATCCGCATCATCCAGTCGTTTACATTTTCTCTCATCACAGACATGATGGTCTGGATCGATTGAAGAAGAAAGAAAAGAAGAAACTAATCACATGTTCATGTATCAAGTAAAGATTCTATCTATGTTAATTGTATCAAGTTCTACACATGTAGATACATAGATGTATCAGTTATCAAGTTTACCAACATCATTCCTCCGGACAGCATTCATTCTGTAGTCATTTGTCCCACGATTGGTTATGGGACCACCGTAAATTATATTACCTAGCTTTTGTGACTTCATCCTATAAACAAAGAACCAATGTTATTGCAGATACCTTCAGTTGATAAAATCCTCCTAAATCCAAAAGCAAGGAATTATCTTTCTGACCCATTATGAAAGTAGATTGCTGCTGTTATCCTTACTATGACTTGAGAAACTTAGATATATTCATTGCGTCTCCTTCTTAATTAAGTTCATAAACGGTACCATCGATTCGCCTACATTACTTGGTGGGCTAAACTTTAATATACCTAATCACTTCTCTAGGCATTTCATATTCATTCATCAATGTAAAGATAATGATGAGCTGTTAAATCCATTTAGACTTGTTTGCACAGACCTAACTGATGTCTATCACCTAATCTCAATATCGGACACTTTAGATTCTATCAAAAGAATAATGGTTAAAACGCGCGATTTGTCTATGTTGTATTTAAACCAACATGCAATCTTAACATCTCAGTCTAATTCGAAAATTAACTGATGTTGTTGACTGTTACCAAGCTTTTCCATATTTGTAACGGCTTAGGGGTTCACCTGCAATTTTGATCGGCGCCCGTTGTGGGTGTGCCTCTGTGCTAGTTGTGTACATTTTTTTTTCTTTACTTTTTATTTATACATGAGTTTTTTTTTTTTTTCTTTACTTTTGCTTATATACTTGATACTAATTTTTAATAATGTTTAGTATAAGAAATCGGTTATTAAGTCATTCTAGCTTAGTCTCATGCGTAATTAAATAAAAAAAATAAACAAATAAATGAGTATATCGAAAAGTGCTAAATCCTGGTAACACTAATTTGACATTCGAAGTTGACCGAAAAGTTATTCACCGTGTGCGAAATATCTATATAATAATAAAAATATTTTTATTATATTTATTTACAAAAAAACAAAAAAAAAAAAAACGGATTTAAAAAAAACGAAGTCAAAATTATAAAACCTGCAACTATTTAATAAATTGCTATTTATTACTGACAGAATATAAAATATATTGAAAATTTTTGTGACGTGATGACTAACAATAACAACGTACCAGTTGAAATGGAACGAGTACCAGTGAATCAAACGCTCCGAAGAGAGCAAACAACGATAGATATCGACATGGACACAAATGGTAACCAGCAGCATAATGTTAGAAATTCTAATTTTACCGCTATTAATAACGAAACGGAAAGTGGCGGAATGATTGATAATGATAGTGAGACAATAAATTTAAGGCGAAATTCGAATTCGCAAGGCAATCTACTGTCTTTAATAAATGAAGCTAGATCTCATTTAGAGCGACAGGCAACTTTAGGAGGCGGCCCCGTTGAAAATGCGTCACAGCAGCAAAGGCGATTTATGCATAGTGCCAGCGATTCGGGTTTCACATCCTCGAATGCGGCAAACTCAACAAATCGATCCCGGTATACACGTTCATGGCGCATGAATTTAAATAATGTATTATCTTTCTCGTCAGCCTCATCGACTGAGGCGTTACGTTCACTAATATCACATTCAGGCAATTTCCGTTATAGTACTCTACGCAGTGGTGATAATTCTGGTAATGATACCGCACAATCTTTAACAAACGAAGTACATCAAGAAAGGCAGCAACAACAACCGGGCACTGATCGTGTTTCATCATCATTATCATCATCGTCATCAACTCCAATGAGTTTTAGAGTTAATATAAATATGAATAGTAGATTGCCGATGATAGTGCGACAAAATTTACGATCACTAGGTAGGACTGATAATAATACTCCCGTTGCTAATAATGCAACAGATTCGACAATAGATTTATCTGATGAACAACAATTTCGTAATATAGCAGCTGCTACTAACGGTGAAACTAATAGATCTAATCGACAGCTGCGTCAAAATTCAGCAGATAATCAAGAATCTGCACCGGGTTCGGAGAATCCACGAGATATTGAAATCGATAGCCCTGGACCTGATGATATAAACAATGAAATACCAGAACTTGTATTAAAATTAGTATCAGCTTTTGTACGCTACCTACCATTTATATGTATTATCTTGATGAAATTTATACATGACCATCTGCTGGGCATAATGGATTTAATATTTCTTCAAGCTATTATGTATCAAATAAATAATTCGTTACGCAAACAAGTCGCTAAGTTGTCACAAAAATCGTATAGTATTCTTTCACGGGACTGTTTAATTGTTATCTGTGTGGTCGTGTATCGCTTTATTATAGCTACTTCAAAACCAGAACCTTTTGGTCTTCTCATACCACCTCCAACAGAATCCTTAACGGTTGATGTTTTTGCGGCCGATAAACCAGTGCCAACGTCGCCAACTAATCAAGAATTAACAAATGATATATCGCTTAAATTCTTTGTAAAAGCACCCGTAAATGCTTCCCCAACTCCCTCGCATAAGTCCAGCGGAAACAAGCTTACAATAACTAAGTACACTTCACTGGAAATGCTATTATATTACGTTGCCGTTAATGACTTAATATTAAAATTATTAACACAATTAATTAAAATCGCAATAACTATGATGTCTACAAAATTATTACGACATAAAGCTAGAGTGAGTAATACAAAGCAAAAAAAAAGAAAACCAAATATTGTTAAAATTAAACGCTTTCAACTCCAGGCACGCTTATACGTTCTTGTTGAATATGTTTCACAATTTTATCGAGCATTGGCCCCGATTACTCAATGGTTAGAGTTTTTGCATGAATCTTATACCGGCTTGGAAGTGGTAAATATTGATCTTAAAATTTTTTAAAAGAAAAATTTTCTAAGTTATTGCGAATAATATCTTGCAGATCTCAGGCATGCTATTTTCCTCTTTCTATATTGGTGCGAAAATATTTGAATTAGTTGAACGCAGCAAATTGCTAAAACGATCTCTCCTAAGCTTTGTACGGAACAATGTGAGTTATATTGCGAAGAAAAACGCAAATATTGCAACTTGTACAAGAGATGTATCAGCAAAGCTTTCTCTGACGAATAGCTAGACCTTTTTCCTTTTCTTTTTTGTCTTTGGTTTGTTGAAGCTGCTGTCCTGCCTTATCATAATATTCTGGTGCGGTCCAATTAGCAAAGCGAGTCGTCATTTTGCCCCAATGATCATAGTAACGATTTAGCTCTTGCGTCCGTTCAATGCGATCGTCCTCCGCTTGTGGGCGTCGAGCGTATAAAGCCTGAAGTTGTGCTGCTTTGGACATTTCTCTCTCATCCTCTTCTCTATTCTTCTAACATATAAATATTTTCCTTTATTTAACAATTCAAGAATTTTCGTTTTGAGTTTTGATTGTTTCTCTCTGTTAAGTTTTTTTTGTTAAGAAAGATTTTTACGTTTAACAATTGGCCGAAATTTTTAACTAACTAGAAATCCTTCGAGTTCGTCACATATTTCTATCTCATAAAAAACTCATATCAGATTTCCTATAAAATATAATATTTATATGTTTTACATAGCCGTTTTAGCCATACCTAATCGAACACGCTATCATTATGACTGCGATCTCAAAAATCTTCTTATAAAAGTAAAATTGGTCTTAAGACTTTTAGATAAACGAAAAAAAAAAAAATAGTTAAAAGACTTTGTTACAATAATACCGACAACTTTGTCCTTTCTCTTATATTTTCGAAGACAAGATCTTCATTTAGAAATTTTATCGTAAATTATTCTTTAAGCGAATTCGTCTATCAAGTTGAAAAATCAATTAGCTAAAAGTCTCATACAAGCATACTCATAGTTCATATATGTAAATAAGATAATGTGCAGTATGAATGAATGGCATTACGTTATGCGCAAAATAGGTTTACGTTATTTAGCTTCCGATACGATATAATTTCGATAGTTTATTAGAAGTCATTTTACTTATATTTAATTCAAAGGACTCCGAACGCAAACCGACAAATGATGAAATAGATGCTGCCGGCAATGTTTGCCCCATATGTCACGATGCCTATAATTCACCAGTTATTCTACAATGTGGCCACATATTTTGTGATGATTGCGTTGGCACTTGGTTTAAACGGGAACAAACTTGCCCCATGTGCCGAACAAAAGTGAGCGACGATCCTACGTATCAAGATGGTTCTACAACATTTTTCTATCAAATATTTTAATACAATTTTTTTTAACAGAACAAGAGACATCGTTATATTTCTGATTGTTATAAACATATAATTTTTATATATTTTCATTCCTTAAAGTGTTTTTATGTTAATAAATGTATATAATAATAAGCATATTACGTGCATCATATATACGTAATATAATTGTGCATATAAAAAGGGGCACTTGCACGGATATATGCAATAAACGTAACTTATCGATGAAATGAATTTTTTATTACTTTTTCAATTGGCTGGAGATATTTTCCTGGAAGTAACTGCCATCCGCCTCAGTTGCTTCTTTATTAATAGCTGTATGCCTTTGCTTGCTTACAATTTCTTCCAAGATCTCACCGCTTCCTCTGATTAATCTTGATCGGCCAGTTACCGGATCCGTTTCACGGCGAATTTTATTCTGCCTTCGTTGATACTCTTCAGGCGTTTCAGGGGCATGCGATTTGCTATTCATTAGCGTTACTGGAATTTCAAAATTATCATCAGTATCGCTTTCTCGTTGTTTTGCTTTACTAGTCTCATTAATATTTTTAAGATTTTCAGACCTTTTCTTGCTTTTATGGGTCTTTTTCAATTTCTTTGATTTCTTTTTTTCCTTACGCTCTTTATGATTGTGCTTTTTCTTCGACTTCTTCGATTTAGCCATTTCGCATAGTTATATTACTAAATTATCAAAATTTGCAACTAAAATAATTTTTCTTTTGTTTACATGAAAATATTGAAAAGCAGTCACAGTCACAATACAAAGATAATTGTTACGTTTTAGGTAGACCGTAATTTTGCATATATATGCAATATGACAGATGAATAGCTGTGTGCGATTAGGACATGAAAAGTGAAAAGCTCGAATAAGATGTCTTATAATGAATTTATTGTCTCGAATTTTTCACATACTTGTGGAGGCTGTGACTCGTGTTTAACATAGTTGTGGAGGCTATAAGTCGTTTTTGACATAGTTGTGGAGACTATCACGCGTTTTTAACATAGTTGTAGAGAGATTTTTATTGGAGTGTATTGAATAGTTTAACATTTCTGTTCTTACACATTCACATAAGGTGTTACTACTTGCATTTTTGAGGCATCTGTATTACTTGGTATTTTTGACACTTGGTTGTCATTTGCAAAAAAAACCCAGTGAGCGCATTGTAGATCTATGATATGTTTAAAGTCCATAAACTATGCTACTAAAAACCAGCAATTGCAGCAATTACATCTACAGCTGACATTGAGTTTACGATATCGATATTTTCTATAGAAAAAAGAAAAATTAATAAATTTTGATAATTTTTCTTTTAAATCTAGTCAAGGTAATTCCGAAAATATCACGCATAACCATGTGCCAATGTCTACATATATATGGGTGTTTGGTTTATGCACTGAATTGTACCCGAAGATCAATATATATTAAAATATGATTTCAACAATCGCAAGCAATTATAAATTTTATATAGTGATGGAAAATTGCCATACGCTATACATAAAAATGTATGAAGAATATATGTTAATTTACCACGAAGAAATATTCCAACTTCTTGGAAAAAAAAAATCGAAAAAAACTTTGCAAATCAAAACAGATTCTCTTATAGAGAATTCGTGCGGATTTATTCTATACCCGCCACGAGCATATATTGAAAGAAGTCGCCAATCAATTATGAGAATTAAGTCTATATTTTTTTATTATTATTTTTTCTCGTTGGTTCGCGAAGAGTAAGAAAAGGAATTTATAGGACCATCAGAATACTGTAATATTTATATCGAATATTTATATCGAACGTCGAATATCCGACCATGATAAATTAATATATGTTTTCTTCAACGAATTTCAAGAAAATTTTTTTATTATTATAACTTCTCCGAGAATGAACTTTTTATGAACATTATCATACTTCAACATTCCACGGGGTAATTAATGTAATTTAGATTTAATTGAAGAAAAGAAGAGAAAGCGAGCAAAATTAAATAAAATCCATAAATAATATCATTTATTTTTGTTCTTCGAAAACTGGTAAAATAAATGAAAAACGTAAGCAAATTTATTGTAATTGTAATGTAACTACATTCACGTTGTAAAGCTATTCAAGATTTTCCAAAACGTGGAGGGATTTCTAAAACAATAGTCAAGAGAAAAATAAGGCATAAAAAGATCTATAGCTATTTATAGCTAGCCTTTGGCGATAGCCAAGAGCTATGGAAAACAGAAGACCGAAATCTTCATTTTCTTATTTTTACTTAAAAAATTTTTATTTGTACAAGTACAAATAAAAATTGTTATTATTTGCCATATAAAAAAAATGTTGCTTTATATATTAATTGCTCAAAAGATTTTCGATCACATGAAATTAGAATTTCAGTTAATTTGGCTTAAGTTAATTTAGTAGGAATTTTGCAAATTTTTGTAGGAAGTTTTCAAATTCGTTTTATACATATATTTTCAGTGATTATTTCATGTTTGCTTTCAAAAAATTCATTTTTTTTTTAAATACAAATTTGTTATCGATTTCATTTCGTTTATTGAAAGGTATTATGATTAGGATTAGGATAAGGATAGACCGTGAAATGATGCTATGAATTTCGAAAAATGCTTATAGATAATGGCGAATAATTTTATCGAAATATCATCAAACAAATGAAAAATGTATAAGCTTGGCAGCTCTAGTTGCAGCCATGTTAGTTTTATAAGTTCGCTTCTAGCGCAAGGTAAAAAAAGTCGCGAGGTATTCAGTAAATATATATTTGTTTTCAAATTTATTACGTTAATCTGTAATAAAAGGTTGTGTTAATTGGTGATGTTATACGGTGTATGTGTTAATTTACCGAAACACTTTCTAAAATTATTTAAATAAGCAATACTAGCCACGTCATTTCTCGGTGCTTCGCTTTTAATAAAACTAGCTTCAAATTTTGTATTTCATCTATACTGTAAATTTGAGACCATTGTTTTTTTTTTTTTAGCAAGGGACGTGTGCGTAAATTTTCGAGAACAATAACGTCGTCAATTGGTCTATGGCGCGCGATAAAGTGTATTAAGTACAAAATAAATGTTTGGCATTTCATTTAATTTGAAAAGAAAGCATAATTATATCATTTTGGCTGCTTAATGGAAACTATTTATCAATGAAGATGGCAAAAGACGCCTTCATTGTGTTTATAAAACAGTGTTGCCAACTTACATTTACTCAATGATGTCGAAACTGAAACAATCCTTCAATATGTTAGTAATTTTAAAACTTGTTAAAACCGTATTAGAATTAAATGAAAATTTTGTGGTTGTATACGATTTTGAATTTGAAAAGTTTTCTAAAATAGATTGAAAAAAGAAAGAAATTCTTTTATTCTATGCAACTCTGCTTTGGCCGGTTTCATCTTTTTTTTTCCCTTCTCTATTTCGCTTTATATTCATATTCTACAATTCCATTGTTCAGTATAAGCATTAGTAGATCAAAAGTGTGAAGAATACGACTATAGAATACCGGTTTTTCATATTTTCGCAACTGTTCCTTTTTTTTTCTTTCGTTCATCATCATCGTCGTCGCCTTTACAATTCTTGTCAAACAACGATAATCATTTCTGGTTGATTTTGTTCTGTGTGTTGAATTTTCACTTTTTCTTGTAAAGTATTTTTCACCAAAAGACAATTTTCAGTGCAAAACTTTAAAACAACCGTAAAGGCCAAGTTTCATACTGTAAGCGTAATTGTGTAAGCATTGTAGTGGTAAATATTTCATTTAAATTTCTTTTACCGAATATGAGAAAAAAGGAAAAAAATTGAACATGAGAGAAAAGGCAAATGTCTTTATGAATGTAGATGGAGGCGCGTTGTATGTAAGCTTTCTTTTGATGTTTGCCATTATTACTCGTTCCAAAAACCGCCAATTGAATAAACATTTATTTCATGATTTATTTTTTTCTTCAAATTGAAAATTATTTAATAAAAAATATTTTGTGCTCTAGTATTGATTTTATTTAATTCTGCAATGACAGTTTTTCTTATTTTGCTAAAACCGATAAATAAACAAAAGAAATATTACTCTTTCTTCATATTTTTTTCTTTTTTTTTTTTTGCTAAGTTCATGACCTTAATGTTGAGCTTAATGGAAAGGGGTTGTTAATTGCACGATGTATGTGGACACAAGTCTTCTGTTTTTTTTCTTCATTTTTCGATATTAATGCAAACTACTTGCTCTTGGAAAAAATTTGTTTTAATTCAAACAAAGGAATTTTTGCATGAAAATTTATTTCGTTTTCATATAAAATATTTTATTTAAACAGGAAATGTGGCATTGTTAAAGGCTACTACTGGACGGAAGAGAACCTATTAGAACATATTAGCACAGCTTTCCGGTTTTTAATACTTAGGATGCGCACCAGAAGTTTTGCATGGTATCCCTTTTTCGTGATCCGGCTAAGAGGCACCGGTCAATTATTAAATCTGTCTCTCAATGGTTGGAATTTATTTTTAAAGTTGTAAGAGTTGAGAGGAAAACTGAAACAACGATTTGCAAAATTCCGCAGACTTTTTTTGCGTCTACCAGCTAGTCGACCATGGTCATAAGGACCAACTTAAAAATTGACACAACATCGTAATCAAGATATTATTGTGCAGGTGTGCGAAGGAAGGCTTTAATGTTCTTAAATATTTATTCATATTTAATTTTGGGTTTTTTGGCGTGCACTTGTTCAAAATAATTGAATCTCAACCTTAGTGGTACAGTCCGTCACATATATTTTTTATAAACGTTACAAACAGCCAAAGGCCTCAACTTAATATATAATCTGTTACAACACTGAAGGGCTCGCTTGTTTCGAGACGTAAACTCGTTACTTTGCCGAATAACTTTATGGTCGCGAAACGGAAGAATTTCCAAATCCATATTTAATTACCAGTTACCAGCATCAGTACGTGCTTGATAAAAATTATTTGAAGGAGAGTTCATAATACGATATTCTATTGTGTAGTATAGCAAATTTGGTAGTTAATGTTTTCACAAAATAACATTGGAAAGGGCTTCTTAAAAAGCCAAACAAAGTATAAATAAAGTTACCCAATTGCCGCTGGTCCTTCTCTTCAGTGGTTCCTAAGGGAAACATGAATTTGAAACTTTTAACTCTGAGTCTAAACAATCCGTTCTCTACTTTTTTCTGTCCTATTTGCAATACTAGCAATGCAAAAAAATTTTATGTGCCCTGTAATGCGTTCTTCTATCTAAAGTTAATCATAGTCTCATTTATAAGACCGGTGAGTGCTTCTTCGAAATCAATAATTTAATCTGAATATATATCCGACGTCTATGATGTTTATGAAGTGAAACACGTTAGCTGTGTAAAATATAATATAACACAAGATTTTATGGTTTCGTAGACTGCGTATTCTAGAAATTTGAAATTATATTTTAGTTCATCAACTATTTAAGAGAGATGTGTCCGACAAGCAGAAGTCCGTTTCTTATAAAGTTTTTTTTCTGATAAAGTCTTCTTAAGACATGGGCTTCAGTGCCAAAGTACTCTTTGACAGTTCGGTATATGTCGGCATATTTCAGTCCTTCGAGACAAAATTTTATGGACAAGTTTTGAGCCAAGAAAAATAACCAGGATTTGCATTTTGCTTTCTCAGGACGAAGGATGATCTATTTACCCTTACATTTGTACCAAGAGTAAGAGTATTTAGCCAAGTTAATCTGTGCGTATGCCATCCCGTTCGTCTAGCTGAGTATCGTTTGACATTTGGTGTATTTATTATTGCTGATTGTGAATGACCGTGATGGTCGCTATCAAGAGTAAAAATGAATATGATGCGGTGAAATTTCAACATAAGGGGTTTAGCCGGCAGTGACTTAAGATAGGTTTATCAGCTTTATCTAGAAACTAGAAGCTCAGGCTTGTCCACAAACCATCATGTGATCTCCACAGCCAAAGACCTATTACAATACATTGTTTGTATGTCTAACCGACCTTTTGCTACAACTATTTGTCAAGATGGTTTCAAATATGCTCTGGACGTAATCGCTATGGGATATGGATTTGAAACTTTTTGTAAATGTTTGCGGCGTGATCGTGAAAAGATACCTTGATATTTTTATAGAGATCAAAAATTAAGTTATATTAATTTTTTTTTAATTGATGATTGTTTGGAAGATCAAACCAAGATATGTATATATATATACCAAGAAGATATATATATATATATTATATATTTATATATATTATATTATTATATTATTATATATATATATAATATTACTATATATATATATTATATTTTTATATATATGTATTATATTATTATATATATATATATATATATATATATAATATTACATTATATAAATATTATTTTTTATATATACATATTGAGTCTTGTGCAAATGTTTTGTTTCTCGTTATGTATTTTCATTACATTCATGCCTTGATTAAAACGAAACAATCAATGATAAATTATTTGATATATATTTCTTTATTATTTTCTATATTTCAGTAAACCTCAATTTAATGCCCATTTATACAAGAGCCTGACTTTGCTAGCGAACTTAAGAATTTATATTAAACAAGAAAAGCAATTATTTTGTAAGTAGATATTTTCCAAAACAAAAGAAAACAACGATTAATCGACTACAACAAAAAAAAAAAAAAAAAAAAAAATTTAATAATAATGATAATATTTAAAAAAAAAAAACAAAAATCTGTTAAAAGAGAACTGACTCCACAGAATTAAAACCAAATCATTTTTTTCTTGAAGAAAAAAAAGTATTTAAAACAAAAGCTACATACATATATAAAGCTAAATGCGATTTATCAACAAATTCCGAACACTCCATTAGATTCGTAGATAGTCTTTAAAGAATTAACAAAAAAACTACTCTACTCTATATATCTGCATCAAATTAGGCTAGAAGTACTGATCAAGAAGGAGAAAAGGAAGAGCAAAAAAGTTTGAAAAAAACAAAAAACTCAGCCACTCAATCTGCCACCCGTTTACTACTAAGTCACATCAGACTTTCAGTCAAAAGCCATACGTTGAACGGTTGCGGTAAATGTTAAAGTGACAAAATAAAATAAAAGGAGAACAAGACGTCAACGAAGAAGACGAACAAGTAACTAAAAAAAAAAAAAAAGTATTCGAATATTATTTTGCTATACTACATAATATACAAAACGAAAGAAAAAAACAAACTACAGCAGTTAAAATATACATAAATATATCTAATGAATAATATTTAAGAAGGTATGTACTATACTAGTTAAAGAAAACAGAAAGAAGCAAGCAGTATATCTATTCTATACGTGTATATATTCCATATTATAAATGTGCGTGTTTATAAGAAACGGGAAGAGAATTAACATTAATAATAAAAAGGACAGTAGCAGTACTAACATCTATAAAAATAGTGGCCGAATCCAGCAGCATCAGCAGCAGCAGCGACAACAACAACAACAACAACAACAAAAACAAAAATCATATGAAAATCATTAGCAATAGTTTATAATAGGAACCAGGAGCAATAATTTATTTCGACGTTATTATTTATTAAAATAAAAAGCAACACATTATTTATTTGTGCACCAAGGCGGGATATTGAAACGATTGCATTGCATATTGTAAAAGCCAAACTATTGCAAGAACAAAATTTGGCTGCTGGGTGCGAAATCAATCATTGGACGCAAATTAACACAAAAAGAAAGACAAGAATAAATAAACAAAAAACCAGGGACGAGGAAATAGCGGGAAAGATAAGCCGAAGAAAAGGAGTAAAACGCTCAGGGGAAACTAAACAACAGTTGTATCCAAAATTAAATTTTAGAGTATTCGTATTCGCAAACAGTAACAGTAGTGTCTAAGTATTCTGTAAAATTTTAGCAATTACATCAATTTACAACAATTATATACAACAAACAACACGACAACGTAGATAGATAGAGTTGCATTCGTGAATATCATCGGATCAATTGAATCGGAACCGGATTGAAAGACAGCAACAAACAAAACAAAGTATATCCTTTCTTCCATCAGTTGCTTTTTGTGAAACCGCTTATTAACTCAAGACGACACAATACCGAAACGAAATTAATAATAACAAGCAATGGACGAATCACAGCCGAAAACATTGTATGTAGGAAATTTAGACGGCTCCGTATCGGAAGAATTGCTTACTACCCTTTTCGGTCAGATGGGTACCGTGAAAGGTTGTAAAATTATTCGGGAACCAGGCAACGATCCCTATGCATTCATCGAATATTCCACGTATCAAGCGGCTACAACAGCTTTAACGGCCATGAATAAACGCTTGTTTCTCGACAAAGAAATTAAGGTATGCGATTGTGTCAACTTTTTACTCTTTTGTTTTTTTTTATTTTTTTTTTTATTTTTTTAATTATAAATATTTACAAGATTGTTTTTCTTTTTTTTTTTTTTTTTTTTTTTTTTGTGACGTTTACAGGTAAATTGGGCTACTAGTCCTGGAAATCAGCCCAAAACAGATATTAGCTCACATCATCACATTTTCGTCGGCGATTTGAGTCCCGAAATTGAAACGGAAACGTTACGCGAAGCTTTTGCTCCATTTGGAGAGATCTCTAACTGCCGCATCGTACGTGATCCGCAGACAATGAAATCAAGGGGATATGCCTTTGTTTCATTTGTGAAAAAAGCTGAGGCTGAGAATGCGATACAAGCAATGAATGGTCAATGGATTGGCTCACGTTCAATTCGTACGAATTGGTCGACAAGAAAATTAGCACCACCCCGTGAAACGAACAAAACGGGTGGTTTGGGTACGGGGGGAATTAAGAATAACACTAGGCAAACATTTGAAGATGTTTATAATCAGTCCAGCCCCATGAATACAACCGTTTATTGTGGTGGTTTTGCACCAAATGTGATTACGGACGAATTGATGCACAAGCACTTCATGCAGTTCGGACCTATTCAGGATGTACGTGTATTCAAAGACAAAGGTTTTGCCTTTATTAAATTTGTAACAAAAGAGTCTGCAGCACGTGCCATCGAGCTCACACACAACTCCGAGGTTCACGGTAATCAAGTTAAATGTTTCTGGGGAAAAGAGAATGGCGGCATTAACGCCATTAATAGTAATGATAACGCCATTAATAATATGGCAGCAGCCTCGGCAAGTGCAGCAGCTGCTGCAGCAGCCGCTGCGGCCGCGGGTGCCATCATAGGTCCTGGTGGCATACCGACTACACCACAACAAGCAGCTGCAGCTGCAGCAGCAGCTAACGCGGCCGGCGCCGCGCTGCCTGGACAAATGATGACACAACAACAGCTTGCAGCCGCTGCAGCTGCTGTGCAGTATCCATATGCGGCGGCATATCAACAAATGGGTTATTGGTATCCACCGGCGGTAAGTCCATCAATTTAAAAATTTTACAATTCAAATCCAATTTCCCATTAAGCAAATCGTGGAGATACTTTTTTTTTTAATTTTCGTCCTCTCATTATGAATACCTTTATATATATTTATGTTAAAAACCTTCTCCGATATTCTTAGCACATAAGTAGTTATATCGACTTAAATTTGTCTATATATCAGATTGGCAAAAATCAAAGTCCTTCCATACGATATATAAAATTTATTCCATATTTTCTTATTCTCTTATGCTATTCCGATAGGGCTATGCTCGAAAAGCTTAGCCGCAACAACTTCTTATTCTTATTCTCGTAGCACCCATTTTGGTCGGAATAATGCAAAGAGCATAAGACAGAAATTTTCTTTTCGGTTAAGTGAAAGAAGTGATGTAGAAAATGTGATTCTTTTTGGACATATATGAGTTGGTTTTGTTTGAAGCGTACTCGGAGTAAATTGAGCCTACCGGGTAAACCGAAGAAGAGTGTGCCGAGCAGAACAGAGTAAGCCAATTTCGCAGATAGCGCATTCATTCATAAGATGCGCTACATTCAGGAGATAGTAGGTGCAAAGACATCCTGGTTCTGCTTGCTATACTAATAGTACTCATTAAACAAATAGACAGACATAATCATATGCCCAACACCGTTTGACAAATTGTTTTGATACGAGGATACATTATATTTGTCTGGATGTATGCAACATCTGGAAAGACTAAAGCCAGACGTACTGTTTATTTCTGTCCGTTTTTTTCTGTGTTGAAACTATGGGTCGCAGTTTACGATATGTTTTGACGAAAATTGCTACACTGACATGTTGTTTTGTTTGTTGCGTGAATGTTCTTGAAAATAGTTTGGATCGGACAACTTTTTCCCTTATAACGCGTTGTGCTGAAGAGCCGCTATACTAATACCTGTAGGGCTATGTAGAGTATTTAACGGTAAGCCCTGGCCCACTATAGTGGTTTTACTTCATATTTTTTGTTCACTGGACTTGTTTGTTGGGAAATAGAAAATTCTTTTTTTTTTTTTTTATATTAGTGAAGCTCGATTAGCACTCTGTCAGTTTTGCTCTCGCTTGCACCATAATAATATATCTTTCTATGTTCAGTTTTGTTGCTTTCGGAAAGAAATCTAATGAGCGGAAGAAAGGATTGAATGAGTTTTCCTGCGTTTATAGCTAATTTTATAGTTTATCAAGTTAACAATTTATAGTGAAATCGTTTGATATGAAAACATCTCCCTTTTTTTAAGTAATTTTTGAATTTTTGAAAAGCAGAAAACACTTTGAATACACTGTATTGTAAAGAAGTATACATTGTTGATTTTAGGGTTATCCAGCAGCCCAAATGCAAACACAATATATGCAACAAGGCTATTATCCCTACGCTTATGCAGCTAGTGCACAACAGGCTGGAGGTATGTTTCGGCAATATCGATGATAACTAATTAATATATATATAAAAATAAAAAAAAAAAAATACATTTATTCTAGCTGCAGGTTATCGAATGGTTCAGCCCAATGTCGCCTGGGGTGTACCGGGAACGATGGTGCCGGGCGTAACAGCAGCTGCGGCCACTGCAGCAGCAAACGGTTCGTTAGCACCACAAATGATGTATAGTGCTACAATGCCACAATATCAGACCCAATGAAGCTACTAGATGGCGTGTTTTTTTGCTCCGTTGTTGAACTATAACTTGAATTGCGAGTATTAAGCAGATAAACGGATAAAATGGTTAAGAAGGGAATGAAGAAATTTTAATTAATCGGAAGGCAGACTGCGAAAAGACAAAATTAGTAATGGAAGAAAGACAACAAACAAAAAAAAGAGAAAAAAAGAAAAGGGAACGAAGCCGTTTCTGTATTCAAAAACTCAAGAGAACTTCAGCAATCGGTTCTAGACACGCTCCATTCAGTTGATATTAGAATTTATTTTCTAATAAAAAGTATCTCTCAAAACCCACAAAAACAAAACAAATCACACAACCTTCAACCATACAGAAAGAAGAAGAAGAAGAAGAAGAAGAACCTCTCGCTATATTCCTCGATTGTTTGCGAATAATACATGTATAAAGATCGATCAATCATAAAAACTTCTGTCAGGAAATAACTGCTACAAAGACCTGAAAAACTGTTACAAATCTACGATATTTCTTAAAGAAAATAAAAATGTTAAGCCCAAACTGTGTGTAAACATAATGTGCATACACTCGTTATCAGCAAGGACGCAAAACATCCCTTCATTGAAACAGCTTTTCAGGCACAATTGTTATGTCATACAGCGATTAATATAATGCGAACTATATTGAATCATAATACATGCTATACACATTTACATACATGCAAATACGTACATGTCCATATTGACACAAACACACACACACACACACATACACATATATATCTCACAGACAAACAGACACATGCACACACACACACACACACACACACTACACTGCACTGCACTACACTTTACACATACATGTGTGGACACAAACACATTCAGATTTGATCTATACGCGCATGCGTAGATTCTCATATATCTTGTAACATTCGCTTACAATCTTCAAACCATAGAAGTTAGGTCGTTGTTAATTTAATTATATTTAAAAACAGAAATAATTATATAATAAAAACAAAAACAAAAAAAATAAAAAAAAAAAAAAACCAAGAAAGAAAAACTTAACTCAAACAACCATAAATAATTAAGAGGTGTGGCAAAAATGACGCCAAATTGTCGCACATTCTTCTATTACGTCCTTCTCTCTTTATTATTATTACTATCGTCGTTATCAACTCATCTCTCATATTAAGTTTGCTTAGCAACCTGATATATTTCTCTTTTTTTTTTAAATAAAAAACGAGAGCAAAGTAAAAGTGGATTTAAAAAAAAAAATTTCACAAATTATTTTTTCTACAAGACGTAAAATGTAAAAAAAAAGAAAAATAAAAAAGAAATAATAATAATAATAATAACGATAACAATTTGTCTAAAAGCAACCAAAACACCAAGAAATTGAAAAGTAAGAAAGAAAAAATAAAAAAGAAAAGAAAAAAAAAACAGAATTTAATGAAAGAAAAATCCACTCCAATATCGTTTGTTGTTTTGTCGAGAGCATCATGTGAGGAAATCTAAATCAATGACTGGGATTTAAATCTCTCCAAATACACAAAGACAAACAAACAAATCCAAAATGTGAATATTTAAATTATAAATTTATTGTTGAAATCTTAATAACTTATTTAAAATGAAAACAAAAATCTCACTTATAGGATGAAGTTAATACAGGAGACAGCCAGCCAGATATAGTTTATAAAGGATAAAGAAAAAACAAAAATTTTATTTAAAAAAAAACAAACAAATCAACAAACGCCATTTTGCGTTAGGAAAGCAAATAATAAAATACACAAAGCAAAAAACAGAAAACAAAAAAAAAACTGAAATAACTAAGAAAAAGGGAAACTGAGAAGTTTTATGTAAAATAAAAAGAGAAAAAATAAAAAAAAGTTATTAAAAAAAAAAAAAATTATAATTTTCAGGATGTTTCCATTAAGGTAATATTCTCGGCCACTATCATCGTATTCACGTAGGATATTTCTTATGCTACCGAACTTTGTTTTCTTAATGGTCAGATAGCCCCATCGACCGCGTGCCAGTGTTAGAACAACAGTAGACATAGTAGATATAATTATACTTCACGGAGAGCATTGAATCGCTGACTTGGCTAAAGTTTGCAAATTTTCCATCAAACTTAATTATGAATGAGAAAATAATCAAAAAAAGTGAACCTGCAGCAGTCGAACTAGAAGAAGATATTTTGATAAGAATATTAAAAAAGAAAGTATACAAGAGGACCAAGAGAAAAAGGTTTCCGAATCGGAAGAAGCAATGCAGAGAAGAAGCGGTGCAGAGGAACACGGGTACTTTTCTTCGGTCTTTGTTTTTACGGAGTAATTGCGGCGATTACCATTGAGAGAAGGAGTCTAGTCCGCAAATATCGTTTACAATCTCTTGTTTCCCCATACCGGGGATAAACGAGGACGAAATATGCCGCATTTTTTGAAGCATATATAAAAAAGCTAGATATTCATCTATTAATAAACGCCTCTTTATTCTTAATAGGAAAATCAGCTATAACTTGGAGATATGGAGCTTGGATATGACACTGCTTAATATTTATAAAAATCAGTTATATGCGTTCATGTCATAGAAGAACCAACTATTTTATTCCATTCGAGAAACCCATGCCGTCCAATTGGCCTTTTAATGTCTCTGGAAAATCATAATCTGTCATACAATGCAACTCCGCGGACATTATTTACAACTTTATAACTCTGTTGTTGTATGCTTTTGCATTTTAATTATCCAGAATTTGTGTAGAAAAATTTGCAAAAAGAGACTACGAGCAAAGGAAGTAAGTAATTGATTGATTGATCAGATACACCCATTTTTAGAGAGCAATATCACCATGTGATTTTTTTTTTTTTTGTTGCTTTAAGTATTTCCTGAACGATTCAAAAATGATAAAAAAAAAGGTCTTGGGATTAAAGCAAATATCATAAACGTATGCGGAGAACAACGTATATTGAACAACTAATCGGGACAGGACAAGGCAGATTTAAGCGACTAACTGAGTAATAAAACATTATCTGGAAAGAATTTATTTATGACTATATCGATGAACTGTCATTGATTTTCACTTTGAACTTTAGGTTGCTGCTTACTTATAAAATTATATTGAAATTTTGAACTTCCCTTCACTCATTGCGTACAGATGAATATATACATTATAGGCAGATAACGGTTTCTATGTTACAATTTATAAATTGACTTAGAATTCCAAACTAATTTAGAATATTTTTCGTTTATGATATGTGTCTGATATTACAAATGAGATGAAAGATTATTATACTATAATTAATCGGTAAAGGATATAAAGAAAATTATATTTTAATACTTACTTTACACTTTCTTGCAAAAGTAAGAAGCAGGTGGCGCACAAGCGGCTTCTAATGAAAACATTAAAAACATTTGACTCAGTTTTCTAAATATCGAATTTTTTTTTTTTTTTTTTTCTTTTTTATAGCTTAATGTGTTTATGTACATATGTAAGCAGTTTAATTACTTTGAGTATGTGACCTACATTTACACACATAAATAACTTTTGTTTTTGTTTTGCTAAGATTTTCAAAAGAGTTACTAGTGAAAAGAACGGCAAAAAGAAACCAGAAATTAATTAAGTAAATAGGATTTCCATTAATTGAGATTTCTTTATTTTAATTCCTTGAGAGCTAAAAACCAAATAACATAATCATAGAATTATATAGACAACATATGGCCAATGCAAAGCCCTAAGAGATAATTACTCTCTACTATTGAAAACTTGCTTTATTCGACAGATTCTTTGAGCGAAATCATATATTGAAAGGAAATAGCATCGCGAGTAAAAACAATAAAGAACGTTCTGTTCGGATTGGATTTTCATGTAGTTTGTGCATCATTTCGAATGGATTGAGAAAAATACTAATTCCCTAGATAGGCGTGATAGCCGCATTTTGCACTATTTGTTTTGCTATTGAATTGTGCACGCCCCGTTCTATGATCAGACCAAATCGCTTCTGAAAGTTGATTTATCGGACGATCATGCCTTTTGAAAGGTGCTTTCAAAAAATCTTAGATTTAACGGTAGATTTAATTAACTAATTTCTGATGCCTTTTGTCCAGACTATATTAAAATATAAACCATGTTAAAGTAAGAAAATAAATTCTAAATTAATAGGAAAATTTTGATACATTTTGGGTAATTACAAAAATATATAATTTTATTTTGCATTTTTAATAGCAATGAGGAGCAATTATATTATTTAAAGTTTCCCTTAAATGGTAAGTAACAAATAGAGAGGCTAAAATGTATTTTTAACTTTTAAGATAGTTGGAGTTGAGTAATGTGTTACGACCGAACAGAGGATGATGAAGTGAATGAAAAAAGACTTTCCGATATGTACACTATCTTGCAAAGACGCGATATAATTTTAAAAAAATTCGCCCATCAAACCATATTCTACCAATGAGATTAATTTTTTAAATGTATTTCAAATACTTGATTCATTAACAGAAAAAGCCCAATTTATATAGATGTTTTAAATGTAAGAATGTTTGATTAAATGAAAAATGGCTGGAGGGATATCTATTTAGCGATTAATAAAAGCAAAACTACTACGATTAACTAAAAAAAACTAAGATTACATTTTTAAACATGAAAAGATTTCATTTTTCCTCTTAAAAAATAAGTCGTGAACTTCTAATATTTCCTTTTAAACAAAATTTTTAGATTATATTGAATTATTAACATACATTAGATCACGCGTTTTGATATGTCGACCCTCCCATACCGTTTCTGTAATTGTCAACAATAGGCTTCGTGGCAACATAAATATTCGTTATTAAAATGACAATCCAAATAGATTTAAATTATCCGTCGTCACGTCGATTATGATGTATTATATCCATATGTTGAAGTATTTCTTATTTCACTTCCGTATAGCCATTACCGAAACATGATAACGTGACAAAAATTGGTTTTTATAATATGAAATACGCGTAATATATATATACATAATATGTGACACTTGTATTAATATTAAATTCGACAATTATGTTAAGAATTTGGAGCCAAGTTTCCCTAAAGTTCAGTGTAAGAGCTTTTACGATTTGAAATCGAGAAGAAAAGGCTTACATTAAATATACATATTACTGATTAGTAAGAGAACGTTTCGAATTCGGACTTGCTGTCTTTCCGAAATGAAATTATTCTCATGTTAGAGTAATTTAAATGACAATGTTGTAAATGAAAACAAAATAGTTGACCAGTCATGACCACTTTCAAATAAAAATTTACACGATTCGGCTAAATACTTATACCAAGTTTTAAATTGATGCCAATCTTTTCTCACTTTTACGGCATTGACAACAATTTTTACGAATTGTTTCTTTCTTTTTTTGAAATTGTGAGTATTTAGTTTAAGTTAATTTGGTTTAGTATTTCAAGCGAATAAGTGGCTATCAAATGTAAAGAAGAAATCGCTAATGTGATTAATAAGATGCAACACTGTTTTAATATCGTTTTGGTTTGATCAGTTTCTTTTAGTTTTGCGAGCCGGTAAGTGAATGAAGAATTGGAAAGGAATTTTTAATATAATAAGTGATTGCAATAACATAAAAGTGTGCTTGAATAAAATAATAAAAGCGTTTTGATATCATTTTCATTCATTAAATTAGATGAGTCACAATCTTCTTTGCTGTAAAAAAATATGCCGGTAGCGACGCCTCTCAATACTATTACAATGAAAAGTAAGGGACGCGAAATCGTTTCAGCTTAGCGTATAGTGCTATAAAGGAAATAAAAGCCCAATCATAGGGTACATCACAATATTTCTCATCCTTCGCTTTTCTTTTTCGTTATCACAGCGATTAGTTCGGTAATATGCAGGTGCGGCTTTTTATATTATTCGTTTTGTTCGTTGTTGTGAAACATGATTAGTCGTGTTTTAAAATTTTCAAGTACGTGAGGTATGTAAGTAAGTGTGTAGGATAAATAAATAAAAATTTGAAGAAAGTTTAAGGACATTAATAAAATTGTTGTTGTGTAAAATACGAAAAGGTAATAATGTTATATTATTGATCAATATGCGCAATCAAAAGTGCGGGAAAAAAGCCGCAAAGCAGTTCAGTTCAAGGTCTTAAGAAAAAAATGATAAATATGGTAACATGAAAGTAAGGCGAATAGTATTTTCAAAATCTCAGGCCAAAGTGCAATTGCCTTGAAATTTAATCCAAAATAGATTTAAACTAAAATAAAATTATGCGGAAGATGCAAAGATATATGTCAGGGTAAGTGATTTTAGTTTGTCGCTTTTCAAATATTTCATTATATGTTAACCGTTTCACTAACATGGCGCTGCTTGTGTTATCAATTAGGTTCGAGAATTCTATATAAATATTAAATGTAATTTTAAGGATATTTAATTTGCTGCTACTATTATATAAGTAATATAATCTAATTTTGAAGAAATTTCTTCTGGACGAACTTTTTATGCATTCAAATCAGATCAAATCAAATCAAATCTTTGAAAACCAATCTATACTAACATATCAATATCAGATTAACTAAAGCGTTTCTCCTTCAACTATGAAGCGCGTACGAAACTTACGCGATTATTTATCTATTCCCCGCACTGTACATAAACGCGATAATTGGCCTAAGAAAATAGCGGTGATTAATATCAAAAGTCCACTATGACAATAAATATCACTAGTATTTTTCTTCTGTAATAGTAAATAATAAATAGTTTCTCTAATAGTAAATAATAAATAGTGTCATAAATTTGAAGCCTCGTAGTAGAGAGTCAGAGAGAGTCAACATCAGAGAGTTGACATGAAATGTCTGAGCACATACTTACAAATTGGGTGGAGGATATAAATATATAAATTTTAACTTTCTATATGCAAACTGTACAAAGGAAAGCTTTTCCTTACAGTGAATGCGATTTTCTTTTTTATGAAACACGTAGTATAGTTGATGAAAAAAAGCGCTAATGTGGCAGAGTGGACTTGGTCATTTATCTGAGTAGGATGGCGTTTCGAATACCTTTAGTCTAACTGTCGATACATTAATTACTACTGACAAATGATAATTACAGGTTGAGCTCCAAACCATTAAAAGTATTATATATAAAGTAGGCCGCCCCAAAGAGGTACAGATTGCTGATGAACGTGAATAGCAGCAATGATCACTATTTGAAATCTGTGTATGGAAATCTCGTTTACGACTTTAAAGTTTCTTTACAAAGTAAACCAGAATTCCTATTCTTTACTTTATTAGTTCAAGCTATGCGAAGTAAGCTTTGTTAAAGAGTTAGGGCGCTTCTTTGACACCCACGAAACATTTTAGGCCAAGGACCATTATTAAGTACCTTACCCTGCCCAAAAGTTATTCATATAACGACTTATAGAAATAAGGCGTTGTAAAGGAAGTGACCGAAGCCGACAGAGTCTGATCCACTTTGAATAGCGTTCGTGCTTGCGGTCAAAACACGTCAGTGTATCAAATTTCCTCAAAGCATCTCAACCAGTAGCTTGAACACATATTTAAATGGCGAGATATTAAACGGACAGACAGGCTTAGATCAATTCAGATTCAAATCTGTATAATAAAAGTTGCGTCTAACATAAGTCCTTCTGCGCACTCCTATAATATACCCTGTATAGGGTATAACAAATTCTGTCTTTCGAAACTATTTTTATCAAATTTTTGAAATTTAATATATAAGAGTTATGGAAAAATGATCAAATTCATGACTCTGGTGCGGCCAAACTTAAAAATTCCAGCGGTATTGATTTAAATCACGTGCATCTATTTGCAAATACTTTTCGAGAGAGTTAAACAAATTGAAATTCTGCTTTTCGGCCAACCATAACTTTATCCTAACTACTACTTAACAGGATTCGTTACGGCATTACGGCAAACTCTGTTAATGCTGTTCTTTGTTCATAAAATTCGAATTTATTCTGACATCCATGACATCCTTTTTTCTTGAAATCCTATCTTATAATAATAGCTTTCTAATCAGTATAGTGAAAGGTAAAAGCTTAAATTCGACTCCGTTTAGAATCAAACTAACTTTAAAAAACGAATATAATAGTGTAAAGTCTCCAGGGTAATGAAGATTTTCTTTTATTGATGAATACAATTTTCAATATTAAACTAAAATTCGTATAACAAAAAAAAAAAAAAAAAAAAAAAAAAAAAAAAAAAAAAAAAAAAAAAATGGAAAAAACAAAACAATTAAAAAATTTTATATTGTAACATATCAAAAACGAAACTTATGAGATTAATATTTAAAAGTAAAATCACAAGAATATTTATAAGAAACTAGTGGCGCGTTAACAAAGATATATTAAGGAATCGAAAACAGAAGGAACTCGATTAAATGTATGATAAGAACTCAGAAAAGATCGATATGTAAGAAAATGCTGAAATGAAAGCATGAAATTTAAGTTGAACGTAACTGCAATAGAACCATGATGAACTAAAAGGTGTTTAATTAATAGTTTCAACTCGAACGAATTTTGAAAAAAAAAAAAACAAGCGAATTTTGTAAAATTTTTCCGCGATCCACACCGAAATAAAATAAAATTTATAACCCTTTATACTTCAAAAATGAAGCAAAGATTGATATGAATAATGAAGAAAATCTCCAAAATCCATATGGATGGATATATAATCGTTGGAAAATTGTAATTGCTTGGAAGATAATTGCTTTTAATTTCTAGTTTCAACTGAGTTATATCTAAGCAAATGATGATCTATATATCTAAGCATATATGGGTGATTGATTAACGTTTTGTTTAAGAAATTAAAACCTTAGTACCGTAAATCGTTGCAATCGCCACAGTTTTTTACATATTTCATACATATTAATATTACAATGTTATTAATTTATATATATATGTGTGTGTATGTGTGTGTTTATTTGTTTGTTTTATCTATAAATAAATAATATTAATTATATTAATTAATCGAGAAAATTTTAAAGCTAATCTTTTATAAAGAAAGACATTCAAATCTAGAAATCTAGAAAAGAATGAAAAAGAAGATTCATATCTCACAGCAAAAAGACTTCAACATATTAATTTGTTACATAAGCGTGATTCTTATCAAGGAATGAATGAATGAATAAATCAATGAATGAACGAATATATATATGTATATGTATAAATGTGAAAATGTTAATGCATTGAAAGCGAAAACATAAAAAAAAAAAAAAA